TAAGTCTAACAAGAGTACCTCAAGCTGATGATCAGTTAAATGACTTGAAAAAAATGAAGAGAGATCAGATGTGCAACGAACCAGTAAGCAGGAATATGGTTACTATGGGAAATGGAAACAGTAAGAGGGAGATTTTTTTTGGCAAAAATATACAGAGAAAATCCAAAAAAAATGACTGTTGAATTTTAAAATTCTAAATCAGGAATCACTACAAAAATATGTTGTCATTTGCTTTTTGAATAGAGTTATTTTTTTATGAGTGTAGTAACTAATATTGATTTAAAATTTTGAAATTTAACAATCATTTTTGTTTTAGATTTTTCCAAAATACAATACAATATTAAACTATGTATTATTATAATATACTCAATTACAAATATCTTTTGGGCAGGGCGACATTACATGCCCATGCCCGGGCCCACCCAAAGATACCTAATATTTCTTCGAGCCATCTGTTTTTATTTTTGGTAGGATTGGACTTTTTAAGCGAGTTGGGACAGACAGACTAGTCCATCACAGATTTCGGTCACAATTATTTTTGTAACGAAATTCACATTTTTTGATTGCAAATTCATGGCAAGTCCATTGTTTTTTTTTTTGGCGATGGATTTTGGTTAGTTACAAATATTTTGAAAAAATCCATCACAAATTTCCTAGTTTTTAATAGTGAGTTGTTTATATTTGATTAAAAAAAACAGAGTTTTCTTGCTAAATCCATGTATTTTCATTTTAGTGTCAATCTTGCTTGAAGCACTATCAGCCACTAACCGTGAATAGATCTCTTAACAAAAATTTAAACTTTGGTTTCGTCATGTTACCAGAAACTATTTTTTTTTTTACTAGATCTAATTCCTGTTAGGAGAAAAATTAATGAGCTCTTTCAATCCTCATTGTTCGAATACTTTCTTTACTGTCGAGTTGGGCTCTTGATTTAAGTTTGAACCCATTTCATTGTGAAAATTGTGGGCTTCGTGTTTGGGAATGACAGACTTCAAATAATGCCCCGCTTTTCCGAGCGCGCAAAGGGAATCATAGATCGCTCCGCAATTCGTTGGAGTTGCAAATGGTTTTTCTTTTTTGATAAAAATTACAAATTTTGAAATAACTATATAGTATGTAGCGACGCATCCATCATAGTATAAAATAAAATGAATAAGAATCTAATTCAAATTATTTGTCGCTGTTTTATTTCTACGATAAAATGATAAAAGTAAAATACTCATTTTTCATGACAAAGTGTAATTCATGAATTTAATTGGCATGATGTTTGGTTACATATACCAGTTGTGCCCCATATGCAAATAGCCCTAAAATATATTATGTCAGAGAATCCATATAAGGTGTGGTTCAAAAAGTAAATCTCTTTTTTTTTTTTTCTTAGTTGCCTTTTTGTTGTATAACATGCTCTTTGTCAAGTTTTTCTTTAAAGTTCTTTTTTTCCTCCTGTAATGACATGCATGTAATTGTAGTTTTATTCTCAATATGGTCGTAAAGGAAAAGTAATTAATTTCATTTAAAAATTCATATTCTATAAAAAAATAACTTCATTAATTAGAAAATAAAGTTGGATTGAATTGAATTCTTATTATTTTTAATACAAAATAAATGTCAAATATAATTAATCTGATCAATTCACATATAATTTTCAAGATTATATATAATCACCGATTCTAATTTAGTGGTACTCATCATTGAGATAAGCATATGAAAATCAATCGAGGGAATAAAATTGGGACCATTTAAAATTTGATACGGATGGTCTAGAAAATTTTTAATTTGTAACTTTTCAATGATAATTTTTTTTGAATTTGTAAATTTTTGAAATTTTAATCTGATATGGATTACGTAGGATGAGGAAAAAGCAATTATGCATATTTCTATTCCTATATGTACAAATATATTATAAAAGTAGAAGACCAAGCTAAGCTTATGTCTTTACATGTCAAGTGTCCATAAAAGCTCATTCTGTGATTATAGAGAGCCATTTCAGATCAAGGTTTTCAAAAATATTGTTTATGTTGCATAACTGGAAAACTGCCTGCGTCAATCCATGCTTGATGAGCAACAGTTTCAGAGCAAGCAGCGTGGGACGTTTCTGTAGAGGAAGCAGCAGCAAATGTAGAGACGTCTCACAGGGACCCCTAGCCAGTACTAAGTTTCAATAAAGAAAGGCACAGTCGGTCTCATCGTATTCTCTATAATAAGTCATTGCCTTGGAGCAAAGCAATTATTGCAGACATTGATGGCCTTAATTCAGCAGGTGCTTGGGTGCAAAGCAGACCAATCTCTATAATTCTCTGCACTTCTTCGGCATTATAATCATAAGGATCCAAGGTATCATCCGCCAACTCTATGTGTATGCCTCTCTCATATAGCTTCCAAGCCTGTCAAGTGAATAAGAAGGACAAACAAGACAAAGCAAAACTTTGAATGGTTAAAACAGTCCTGCATTATCAAATTTTCTCCAATGAAATTGCCAATTCTAATTAATCATAGAATTTTTCTTACTTTTTGAGGGGGAATTCGCTTTCAAAATCACCATGAATCTTCAATTCCTTAATTCGTTCACTGCTAATAATTTCTAGGATTATAGTGCCATATTTATAAATATCAGTTTTTTCTAATAATTAACCATGAATTACATATTCTAGTACAGTATATCCTCTTAAAATATATAATGTTTATGTTGTAGTTGATGCCTCAAATTAATGCAAGAACAATATTTTGAATATGAAATAGATATGTACAAGGTAATGTTTGTACCATGTGTGCTACCAATTGAATTCTTAGAATATCACAAAAATCAAATATTTTGACTTACAATGTTCCAGCAAATTTTCTACTAAGATGAGATTGCTCCTCAGGTAAAAGTCTTGCTAAGCCAAATAATCAGCAATTTTTGGTTGAAATGTTGTTAGTCTTTATATTTCTATCTATAATACGAATATGAAGTTCTTCATGCAGGTAAGCTAGACCTCTTGCTATTCCTAAAATTATAGTGTACCCTTGCTTCCGATTAAGAGAACTTTTATTTTGACCTATTTCAAAAATTTACAAACCATTGAAAAAAAGAATAGCATTTATGCATAAAAAAAGGTTTTGATAATTCTTGAATGAAATTATGACACGTGAATGAATTATTGCTGGAGGAGCTAGGGATATATTTGTCCGTCGAAAATATATCCAAATGTCATCATTTTATATTAAAAAAAATTCAAGATAATTAATACGCAAGTCTTTGGAGTTCCATCTAATTTTTAATCATGTCCTTATAGTTTTTTTTCCTCTTTTTAATCAAGTCTCTATAGTATTTTTAATCACATCCTCATAGTTCTACTTGATGTTTAATAAAGTCTTTTATAGTTTTAGGTGACTGATGAAAAGAAAAAAAAAACTACATGGATATTATTAAAAACTAATGAAACTATAAGTACTAGATAAAATGGGAAGAAAAAACAACAGGAATTAAAAACAAGTACAACTATAAAGACCTGACAAAAAAAGAAAAAATTACAAGGACCTAATTAAAAATTAAGTGAAATTATAAAGACTTGCCAATTAATTACTCTGAAAAATTTGATACCTAAAGATTAAAGAACAGCATATCATCTTTGTTGACAAACAAATATACCAAAACGAATTTGTCAAGACTGGTGCTTTTCATTTATTCAGAAATAAGAAATTTCTCATTGTTTTTACTGCAATATCCAAAAACCAAATAAGATTCCAGTGATGAACAGTGATGAACATTGCTTATAAGCTTTACTTTCAAATTCTTCTTCCACCTTCTTAAATTGGCATAAAGTATTCCTATGGTCCTAAATATAAAACCCATTCGTAGTGTAATTTATACTACAAAATGGGTTTTATATTTAGGATCGGAGAAGTAATTAATTTCTTCACAGCACTTTTCTATTCTTCAACGAACCCTATGTTGAAGATTAAGAATGTCAATCATTGCTAGAAGTTTCTCTCATTGTACAACTCTATATGCAAGTATCCCTTTAGAGACATCCCTGCTTTAAAACATGACCTATAGATCAAAAGATTGAAAACCAAAATATATAGTTACCTTGTATACAACACCAAATCTTTCTTCTCTAAGTTTATTCTCTGCACTCACATTTTTAGTAGCAAACTTCAACTCCTTATAACTTAAATTAATTGGGCCTTCCAACTTACTTAATCCATTTATGTCATAGTTTATTTTGGTTATTATACATATTTAGGTTATTTTGTATACTAAGTTACTTAGAAATTTTTAGATGTTCCTTAAGGTGTATACGTCCCGGATCGCACACTCTATTGCATTAATTTGGTTTAGTTTTAGAGTAATCCCAAGGTGACAAATTAAAGACTTCATTTCAATGACATTTGCCGTAGTAAAGAATACAGAAAGCCCCAAAACTGTTTCAAAACGACCTTTAGCTTACCCTTATATCTTACAAACCTCAAAAAACTTTTAACACACCTAAAGATCAGATTAAATTCAAGTTTGATCAACCCTAAATCCTTGATTAAAAACCAGAATGCCACAACTTTTACTCCTATAAAATATAGTTTGTAGTGAAGTTTCGACAAATAAAGTAAGGAAAATAATGAAATTAATAAGGATAAATGTGGGAGGAATATTAAATAAGGGAAATGAAAAATATTGCGGGCCTGGATTTTAGACCAAAACGTAGTTTGTCATTGATATCATACATGTATCCATCGTACAAATAAAATGAATATCCCCCGCCCCCCGGTGGGATCCAGTCAAACGAGTCGTCCTTGTTTTATTAATACGATAAAATGACAAAAGCAAACCATTTATTTTTTTCAATATATAATTATATATATACACGACAAAGTGTAATTAATTAAATTAATTGGAACTATATTTGCTTACATAGAGTATCACACATTATCCCTCCTTTGCAAATAGCCCGTAAAATATATTATGTCCTACTTGTGACCTATCATAACATGTCTTTAAAAATTAAAGAAACATGATTTTGGTGACTTTTAGCATTCTAATTCCCTACACAATTTTTCATATAAATTTATTAATTTGTAAATTTAAAAATACATCTCTTTATTTTAGATACATTCCAACAATCTTTCTGGTACTATACAAGTGAGCACAATAACATTTGATGATGGGCAGGAAATAGTAAAGGTAAAAAGGTGTCTTCCATTGACCCCTAACTAGTTATAATTAAGACGGGCATAGAGGGTCTCATATGCGATAAGCCATTGTTTTGGAGCAAATCAATCACTTCAGACATTGTTGGCCTTAAATCAGCAAAAGCTTGGGTGCAAAGCAAACCAATCTCTATGACTTTCTTCACTTTTTCTGCTTCCGAGTCAGTAAGGTCCAAGGCCTGATCTACCAACTCTAAGTGCATGCCTCTCTCATATAGTTTCCAAACCTAACAAGTGGGATTAAGGTGAAATGGAATAAAACAAGTAGAAAAGACAAAGGAAAACTTCCGTTATTAATTTTTAGAAACATTTATTAGTAGATTTTTTCACATAAAAGAGGAACTTTTTTCAAAAGAGTTAAGCTGAGTTGTTAAAAAAGTCCTACATCTAAGTCTTTTCAAAATAACTCTTCTTAGATAATTATAGCAAATTTCTCACTTTTGGTAGGAGGAATTCATCTTCAGCATCACCATGATCCTTGAATGCTTTGCTTTTCTGGCCAGTCATGATTTCAAGGAGTACAATACCAAAACTGTAAATATCAACCTTCTCTGATAATTGACCATGAATTGCATATTCTGGTGCCATGTATCCTCTAAAAAATACATAATATTTAAATGATATAATTGATATTATACTAGCTCAAATAGGGGCAAATAAATATTATCCAAACAAATCTCAAATAGAGTTGTGCAATGCAAATATTGGATCATTTTGACATACCTATGAATATTCTTTTTGCAAGTTCATGTTATGAAGACAAAATTGGAAAGGTTAGCATTATTTGTAGGTGTACTACTAGAAGAGTTGTTATTTTTTAAGCATAGATTTTATCAAAATGATAGACAACCTAGCTATGTAATATAATAGAAAGTTAAGGAAATTATAGAAATTTTTTCATTTTAACTTACAATGTTCCCACAAATTTTGTACTAAGATGAGATTTGTCCTCAGGTAAAAATCTTGCCAATCCAAAATCAGCAATTTTAGGTTGTAAATCATCATCTAAGAGAATGTTGTTGGTCTTTATATCTCTGTGTATGATACGGACTTGAAATTGCTCATGGAGATAAGTTAAGCCTCTTGCTATTCCCAAAATTATAGCGTATCGCTGCTCCCAGTTGAGATGACCTTTCTTTTCACCTATTTGCCAAGTTCACAAAATTGAAACATATTAAAAAGAATAGCTAGAGAAGAACAAGAGCGAAGCAAAAATGATTCTCAAAATATTACCACAGGGAATTGATGTGCGTGTATGTGTGCATTAAGTTATATATTAAAATGATGACATATGAGTAATGACCTGTTTGTTGAGTAAACGATTCACGAGTCATATATAGTGTTACTAATTAATTAAGAAGCATAACAAACAAATGCTTAATAAACTATATATAAGTTTTGTTAGTTGATGCAAGATACCAAATATGAATCTGTCCAAACTATTGTTCTTCATGTATTCATATACAAGGATTCTGTCACGGCCTTTACTACACCATCCCAAAAGTTGAATAAGATTCGGATGATGAGCATCACTGATAAGCATCACTTCACTCAAAAAATCTTCCTCTATCTTCTTGGAGTGGAGTAAAGTTAACTTCTTGACTGCAACCACTTTCCCATCCCTTAGAGTGCCCTATTCATGATGATTTAAAATTCCAATCAGGAAATAGTTATATAAGTTTTTCCTCTGTCCCATTGGAAATCTAACTTTAATTTTTACATTACATGAATCTCACTTAAAAACATCATTCCTTTAGAACATGATCTACAATTATTAAAATACATGAGATCAAAATAAAGTTATGCACCTTATATACAGCACCAAATCCTCCTTCTCCTAGTTTAGTTTCTTCACTAAAATTCTGAGTTGCAAACTTCAAATCCTTATAATTGTAAGAAATCAGACCTTTCAACATAGTTGCAATAGTAATGTCCCCTATATATTGATAAGAAGAACACTTGTCAAAGTATCTTCATAAACTGAAAGAACCAATTAGGGATCCATCCCTCCATGGAGATGAAAGTATGTTTACCTCTGTGAATTCTCTTCGAGTATTTTGATCGTCTAATACAGATAAATAATATCAGGAGGATCATAACAAGAGCAAATCCTCCAACAACTCCCCCGATGACGGCCCCCTTTTTACTTGAACCTACAAGACAAGACTAGATAACTCGTTTTCAAATAAGTCATAATTTTTGCATATTAAATGTTCCTCTAAAAAGTACAAAGAAATAACACATATCAATAATGTTTTATCGGTAAAAAAGAAACATGTGTCAATATCAATATTGGCACTTATATCGTTTTCAATGAGAAACAGGTAGTTTAAAAGATAAATGTTCACAACTAGATATCTTCACGATGAGCACAATAGATAATAATTATAAAAATTATGAAAGATTGTACTAATTCTTTCCAATATTGGATAAATGAAAAAATTCAAATGGAACCTAATAAAATAGTGGGAAAAGATTGAAAGAATAAAAAAGTTGCATGAACCCTTAGAGAATTCTCAATGTTTGCAATTCTGTGTAAATTTTATTTATAATAAAATCCCTTAATCGATGCTGGGGTTTTAGTACACAAGCAAATCAAATTGTCATGCTGCAATAATATTTGTTCTATATATATATATATATATATATATTAAAATCTTTGAAAGAGCCATACCTTGTTTGCCCAAGGAAGTAATATTAATGGGCTGGTAATAATGTGGAAAGAAGGAAGAGGTGGAGTATCTCATGAAACATCCATCAGCATAAGCCCTACCATCCGACTTGGGAAGACAAGTGGCCATAATATTGTCATATCCAGTGTTCAAGCAATTGAAACAGCCGTTTGGAGTGACAGTTTCAATACATTGAGCAAAGCCATAAACAGTTGTACCATTATTATCAGGCAATTCTATCTTTGTGGCTGCAAAAAACCCTTGCTTTTTGGGTGTTGTTGTTTGCAGATTCTTCAGCAGTTGTTGCACAAGTGAGGTAAATAATGTAATGGATTCTCCTACAGTTTGATTTCCACATGATACGGCATTGAAATCCTCCGTTGTCTTCCAAAAGAAGGCATTGGTCTCGTACCTCAATTAACAAAATGTATGCCATATAAATTTTCCAAGATTAGTAAGGGTTTATCTCATTTACATATCAAACTTATAAGATGATATTTTGTAAATGGATTGGGGGTGTGTTTGAATCAACTTTTGGAGAATAAGTCATAATTTTAACCAAAAGAAAAAAACTTTAGATCAAGTTTTTTATATTCATTATGTCATGGCTATGCGTTTTATTTTTAAAATATTATCATTTAATTAAAAAACAGGATACATTGTTATATATAATTGAAGACCTTGACATAAAAAATATGAGAAACTTAATATAGCTCCAGAAGAGACCTAAAATCACAAATCATATAAATTAAGCTGTTTATATACGATTAGTTCTATGAATAAGCACCAAGAGCTAGATAGGTGGCTACACTGATTGAAGGCTGCATTATTCTTTCAGCTATTTAAGTGGACTGTGGATTCAGAGAATGTAAGGAATTTTCTTTAATCTTTTAGTGGATCAGTTTAACTAATGTCCCTTCTCATGGGTACCAACCTTATGTATGTAGATATTATGGGAGAATCTCACTCTAGTCATTTCTAAATGACTAGGATCGAAGGTAGGGGTAGATTTATTACAATAAAGCTGTGAATTCTAATAAGTTGGTTTGTAATTGGGGTTGATCAATTGACGAGTATATAAAAAAGTTTTTTTTTGGGCTCAAAACAACTTTTAATTTTATTATTATTTTAATGCAATTAAAATTTTGCTAATTAAAACAATTTTCTTATATAAGAAAATTTTCATGAAATCAAAATTTGGAAATTATTTATCATCAACTATAAATATTTATTTATCTTTGCATGCTGTCAGTGTTAACTTTAGTATTACACCTTCAACAAAAAATATATCTAAGTTATAATACAAGATTTAGTTTCTAATTCAATTTCAACTACAAATTAAATACTATACTAAAAATGGGAAGTAATAACTAAAATTTATTTTCTTTATTTTCTCTACTATTTAATTAGCATATATCAATGTAAACCACACAAACCACTCCCTCGGTTATCAAAATGAATAAATATCTTATCTATATGACTATATCCACCCCCCCCCCAAAAAAAAAAACCATCTCCACATAGGAAGGTCAAACTGGAGCTTAATTTCTATTCAAAATAGGAAGGTCAAACTGGAGCTTCATTTGCGGACGACTTGTACCTGAGGAAGCAGCCATCGAAGACAACGCCGGCACCTTGTGCCGCCGGAGGACACTTACGGACTTGCCGGGCTGCGACGTCGAAGCAGGCGACACAGTCGGGAATGGAGATATAGTTTCTACACTGAAAAAGTGTGGAAACAGGGTTTTCTGCGTTGGCTTTCCTTGCCGTCGCCAAGTACTTGTTCTCAGAGACGATATTCTCTTTGATCTCTCGAAACGTTGCGTTTACGTTTTCGTGGAAGATGGATAAGTTGGGCAAGACGTCTTGGTTGGCAGATGGTGTGCAGCGGGTGTATATAAGAGTGGTCTGTGGATCCGAAACGACGCCGTCAAGTATCCACCATGACCAGAATATGGAGATTACAGAAAGGAAAATAGGTTGAAGAAGCATGTTTTATGTCTATATGCGTGTGTGTAGAGGTTGGCTGCAGGTGGACAGAATAATGAAGAGGAAGAAGGAAAGAGAGGTCAAGTTGGATCTGGCGATGTATGAACTATATGAGAGATTAGAGATTGGTGTTTGAAGAGGAGAATGATATCACAGAATTAATGAGGAAGAAGAAACTGATACATTTAAGGGAAATCGAAGATAGCCATGTGGCTTAAGATCAGAGGCATCTGATCAGCTGTTTCAACACATTTGGTCATCGTTTTCTTTCCCTCAGTTTCCTCCTATTTCGTAAAATCATCCGTAACGTGGGGTTATTGTACACAGTAAATTATACAGTTTCCCCCTCACTTTAATTTGATTTTGATGTCTGATCTTTTAACACCCACACACACATATAGTGATAAAGGATGGTGATTGATCAGTGGGCGTCGTCGCTGGTCCCAATGGGGCAAATGGTGACCATTCCAAAGGAAAGAACAAGGGAAGAAACCAAGTTTCACCGCCTCTCCCCAAAATGTGTTGACGGTGTGTTCCCATGGCTTGTGCAGTAATATACGAATTTTGGAGTCAATTGAAAAATGAAGTCATCACGTGATACTGGGGTCCGTCGTCATAATGTGGGCCGGGGTTGACGTCGGGCCCCTGGAAGGATACTGTATCCCTTTTTTTTGGGGCCGACGAGGATATTGGATTTTTTTTTCAAAGCATAAATAATTCTCTTTGAAGCATTGTCAGGAATTAAATATAGGTATTTTTTCTAGTGGGGATTTGAATATTAAAAATATTACTTCTTTTTTATTAATGAAGAGTGAAATATTAATATATAACAAAATATTTTACTTATCTATTTTATTAATTCAACTAAATAATTAGTTATCACTTTCTTAAAATGAGCTAATAAAAAGAATTTTCGGCACTCAACCTTTATATTCTCAGTTGATATTCTCTGACATCTATCAGATTTCCATTTTCACTCTTAACGTGACCATCAAGACAAAAACAAGCATGTAAATTCACTAAAATGGTCATAGTAGAAAACTTGAAAAAAAAAATCCAAAAAGTGATTGTTGAATTTTAAAATTTTAAATCAATATTAGTTACTACACTCGTAAAAAAAATAACTACATTTGAAAAGTAAATAATAATACATTTTTGTAGTAATTCCTAATTTGAAATTTTAAAATTCAACCGTTGTTTTTTTGGGATTTTTCCAAACTTTAACTTCATTAATTAAAAATGAAATTAAATTGGAATTTTGGTATCACTTTTAAAATTTAAAGAACAATGAAAGATTAATATATGATTCGCTAAAAATTGTACATTGTAATTCACACATGTTAGAATAGGGAATGAAGGGCATTCATTTTCTATTTTCTCCTCCTTTCATGTTATTGCTTTTTCCACTTTTTGATTCAAAACTCGAAGTCACTCATAATTACACATCCCTGAAAAATCCTGTTACTATGCTGACGGTATAGAACTCAGGGCGTTGGACGTAGAGGAAGAGAAAGTGGTAGAGGTTTCTCCATGCGCTTTTAGTTAGTTTCAATCAAGATAGGCATAGTTGGTCTTGTGTTCTCTAATAAGCCCTTGTTTTGCAACAAAACAACAACTTCAGACATTGTTGGCCTTATTGTAGGAGACGCTTGAGTGCAGAGCAAACCAATTTCTATGATTTTCTTCACTTCTTCTGCATCATACTCGTTAGAGTCTAAGGCACTATCCACCGACTCTAAGTGCATGCCTCTCTGATATAGTTTCCACGCCTAATAAGTGGGATTCAGATGAAATGCAAAGATATCGGGTTAGAAAAGGCAATGTGAAACCTATGTTACTTGTTGTAAGAAAAAGGTAATATAAAACTTAGGACGCTGAATGCATTATAAATTAAAGTGCTGAATGTTATTGTAAAAAAGATAAAATTAGGGTGCTAGATGAAACTTCAAAAAAAAACATCAAGGTGTTGAATTACTAAAAAAATAAAATCATCGGTAAAATTGTACCATTTAAAAGATCAAAGTGTTGGGTATACATAAGAAATGGTAAAATTGCACATTTACTCTTATTAAAATTGTGCTTTGTCTAAATTTGTGTGTAAAAATATAGTTTAAAGGACATTTTTGCCCTTAAATTAATATTCAAGGGCGTTGAATATTTTAACTTATCAAGTGCAATAATGTTTCCCCTCCATTAAAATTACAAATAGGTACTGCATGAAAAAAATTACTACCAATCAGGTCCCAAAAATTACAATAAATCGAAATTTTTTGGGACTCACTTGGTATTCATTTTTTGTAGGGTATGTATTTGTAATTTTACAAAAATTACAAAGAATAATTTGGAAGTAAAAAATTAACTCTAAAAATAATTGCCCATGTAAATTGATATACAAATTTTGTTACCTTCTGAAGGAGGAATTCGCCCTCTGCATCACCATCAACTCTTAATTCTTCACTTTTTCTAACACTTATAATTTCCAAAACTACAACGCCATAGCTATATATATCAACTTTCTCTGATAATTGGCTATGTATTACATACTCAGATGCAGCATAACCTTTGAGAAATGCATAACATTTTTAAATTGATCAAAATAATGGCTCAAACACAAACATGTTAGCAATATCTGAAATATATATATATATATATATGCAACAGAAAGAATTGCAACAAATTTTCATGCTATATACATGGAAGAAAAATAATCGATTAAACTATTTATAGGTGTTAGAGGGTGTTCTATAGACTAATATATATATTGTTTCAATAATTCTTTCGGTGACTTCCAGCTCTGATTCCTGTATATATAATACAAGGTATAAAATGCAAGCATTACAACTTACAATGTTCCTGCAAAATTTGCGTTGAGATGAGATTTGCCCTCTGATAAAAACCTTGCCAATCCAAAATCGGCAATTCTAGGTTGCATGTCATCATCTAGGAGGATGTTGTTAGTTTTTATGTCTCTATGTATGATACAAATATGAAATTCCTCGTGTAGATAAGCTAATCTCCTTGCTGTTCCTAAAATTATATCATATCGTTGTTTCCAGCTGAGAGGACCTTTCTTTTTACCTGGTACAAGTTTAAATTAAAAATAATAATAAAACACAATTACAATAATAAATATTTCATCATTCAATGTGATTTATTATAATAATATTTATTATAACCATATTTATTGAATATAAATATATTTAAAAAGTTCACATATACTCACACATATATTTATTATAATAATATTTATTAAATATAAAAATATAATATATTTATTTTTTTGTTATAACCGAAATTTTTTTTTTACTAACCAAACCGAACATCAAAACTGAATTGTTAAAAAAAATAAAAACCAAATATATAACCAAAAACCGAAATAACTGAACCAAAAAATCGAAATTGAATTTGGTTTGGTTCAGTTTAGTTTTCAGTTACGGTTCGGTTTTGCTTACTCCTAGATAATAGAAGGGTTGAGCTCCACCGAACGAGTCTTTGGACATCTATTCGTATGGCCACTATTACAGGGAATTGGCCATGGCAGTGTTGATGCATGCAGCGTGAAGATGAATTTTCCTCTTATTACATTTTGTTATATGGGTCCATATTTTGTATGATGATATTTAAAGCTTTCAATTTGATATTTTTAAATAATAAATTTATTTTTTTTTTAAAATGTGCTGACAATTGGAAAATAATCTTTTTATTTTTAGATTGCACCCTTCTTTTTGCCAACTGAATTGTACACTCATTAAAATAATAAGACAATAAAATCAAAATAATAAAATTAAATTAAATGTGAATCATACAAATTCAATGTGAGTGGTGGAGATTTCAGGATGAGCACTAGCCGTTCATGAGCACAAAATGCAAATTTCTCTTTTGTGGCTGTTCGGTGTTTTATGCTTGGACTGTGAAAGCGTTGTCGTTTTCAGGTCAAAGGAAAAGAAAGCGCGTCCAATTATCCAAGCATTTGCCTGGTCAGAGGGAAGACGCGTTCTTTTGTAGTTTCGTTATCGACGTGGCACATTATTATCCTTCCGATCAATCTTGCGGTGCTCTTTGGTTACACTCACTTAAATACTATATGGATATAGCTGAGTCAATTGACTGGCTCGGTTTCGATAAGGTGCGGTCCGTACATAGGAAAATATATACTTTTTTTGAGAAAATTGCTATAAAAAAATCTATTGAAATATTTATTACCTAAAGGTATCTAAAATTTGTAACACTATTTTCTCAAAAATCCCCATTAAAATATTTATAGCTTAAAAGTATTTAAAATATTTATATATGCAGGCGTAACTCAATATGAAACATATTTTCAGTTATATATGTGCAAAAAGGTCTTTCATTCTGTCTATAAAATAGAATGTGTGTAACTTATGTCTAATGTGTGTAGCTTTTTTTAAAGTGTGTGCAACGTATCTTGTAAAAAATAATTATGCAAAAAAGGAATGATATTTGAAAAGACGAAGTCAACTTGCACTACTGCAGAATGTAATGATACAGAATTGAATTTATTTTGAATTTTATGAAGTGTCCTGGTCAGTAGGCACTAGGCAGCATAGAGATATTGAGAGTTAAAAAAGTTTTTTTCAAAAAAAAAAAAAAGAAGGAGATGAAATTATCCCTTTTTCTTCCTTAAATTATATTCATAGATGCACTTTCTTTAACTTACATGATTAGAGAGTTTGACTCCTGGATGTCTTAACAAGTAGTATTTATTTGAATCATGGGTACTTCCTTCTTTTAATCTGTTAAACATATTTTATTGGACGCTAAATTTTCATTCGTTTAATTAATCTTTTTCTTCACTTTTTAGTAAGGCTTAAACGTTAAATTAAAAGACGAGGGTGTGGGAGGAAGTTAGTTAGATCGAAGTACAATTTTTCGGAAACTTTGAAGTTATTATTTATTTTGTGCATTGCATTTGCATCACGAGTAAAAGATACTTTGCCTGAGATGCATGTTGAAATGGTAACATTTAAACCCCTTCAATGCACCTAAAATAAAAGGCCGTAAATAAATTAAAATTAGTCATTATATAAAATAAAAGGAGAATTTCAATTATTAAGTCTTTTTTAAGGGACTTAGTTCAGTTGGATACTTGAATTAGGGAAATTTCTTTTTAAGTACGTACCAAGGAACTTTGATAATACAGCTCATGAACTCGTGCTAACGTAGGCTTACACATTTTGCACCTAGTAGTTGGATTGAAATGCTAGAAGCTTCCGATTACTCCATATTCAACAACTATACTCCACCATTGGTAATTAATTCTATGTCATCCGTATCGTACTCCACATTCTGGAAAGGTAAAATTATCATGCTGATCATATTACATAATTCAAGGCATTACTAGCATTGGATTTAAAAAAAATAGCATAGATAGAAACATACTTCTTCGATTCTAAATGTAAGTCAATTTTAACTAATTTATGCATACAAAAAGAAGCATTAAAGTTAATATAATTTTCAATATTATTATTAACTACACTAAATTCCACTATATCACATTAATTTTTACCTTCTTTTACCATATCTACATCATGGTCTCCATTACAAGGCATAAATGAAAAATATATAATGCTCCAACAATCTTATAAAGTGACTAATAAAAGGGAACAAAAAAAAAAGGTTTAAAAAATGCCTCGTGTGTGTGTGTGTGTGTGGGTGGGTGATTAAAGGAAGTATTTCCATATACCTTTAATTAGTTTCAATCAAGATAGGCATAGTGGGCTTCCTATTCTCTAACAAATCCTTGTTTTGGAGCAAAACAACTACTTCAGACATCATTGGCCTTCCTTCTGTAGATGCTTGAGTGCAAAGCAAACCAATCTCTATCATTTTCTTCACTTCTTCTTCATCATAGTCAAAAGGGCTTAAGGTTTTGTCCACCAACTCTAGGTGCATATCTCTCTCATATAATTTCCAAGCCTAACAATAATTGACAATTAAAGTTAAATGAAATAAGATGGGGTACAACAGGTAGAGCAAAGTAGAGGTTAATGTTTTCTCAAATATTTATTTTTAATTCTCAAAGAAGGAACTAATAGCTTTACCAGAAAGAGTTAAACTAAGTTTGTTAAAGAATTCTTGAATCTAAATTTTCTTTTAAAAAAAATTGCATTTTAGAAAATTTCTAGAATTTTTCTTACCATTTGAAGGAGGAATTGACCCTCATCATCACCATCGATGGTTAATTCTTTACTTTGTCGACCACTAATGATTTCTAAGACTACAACACCATAACTATAGATATCAACTTTCTCTGATAATTGGCCATGAATAAGATATTCAGGTGCTGTGTATCCTCTGACAAATGCACAATATTAAATTACAATTATTACAACATTGTCTAAAACACATACACGCAAGTATTAAGAAACCATTTATATGAGCAATCGCTTTTCAAGTATTAGGAAACCATGAGAGTATGAAATGGAGATATGCAACATAAAAGGAATGGAGCATGTCCCACATCAATACAAATGATTTCTTGAAGCATTCATGTTATATGAAAGAAATAAAAAATAAAAATGTTAAAACTATTTAGAGGAGTGATAGGAGTGCTGCATTGACTTGTACATAGATTTTATCTTCAATAATTTATATACAGTAGTAGAGGTTTAGAAAAGTAAACAAATATTATGTTGACTTACAATGTTCCTGCAAATTTTGTGCTGAGATGAGATTTGTCCTCAGGCAAAAGCCTCGCCAATCCAAAATCAGCAATTTTAGGCTGTAAATTATCATCTAAAAGGATGTTGTTAGTCTTTATATCTCTATGTATGATACGAACATGAAACTCCTCATGTAGATAAGCCAACCCTTTTGCTGTTCCTAAAATTATGTTACACCTTTGCTTCCAGTTGAGAGAACCCTTCCCTTTACCTATTTTCCAAATTTACAAAAATTAATTTGAAGGGAATGATTAAAGAGTAGGGGCTTACATAAAAGTCATCCTCTGTTTCAACTCCAAATAGATCTAGAAGATTACCAAGTCCTTCAATAAGATTATGACGTGAGTAACTTTTCTTAAGGGCGTCAATGATATGTGGTTAAGTAAAAAAAAAAAAAATAATATTCCACCTCAAAAAGTTATGAATAATTATAATAACTACTACTTGAAAACCAAGACTTCATTATTGTGCGTTGATAGGAACTTACCAAATAGGTGCCTGTCAAGACTATTATTTTTCATATATTCATAAACAAGAATTCTGTTTTGTCCTTCACTGCAACATCCTAGAAGTCGAACAAGATTTAGATGATGAACATTACTTATCAACTTCACTTCACTCTCAAACTCTTCCTCCATCCTTGTGAATTGGCGAAAATTTAATTTCTTGACTGCAACTACTTTCCCACCTTCCAGAGTACCCTAGTAAAGACAAAATGATATAAGAATTTTGATCATAAAAGTGTTTGTGTGAATATGTAAATATGCTAAAAATCAAAGTTACCTTGTATACAACACCAAACCCTCCTTCTCCCAGTTTATTTTCTTCCCTAAAATTCTTGGTTGCCAACTTCAAATCCTTATAACTGTAAGAAATCAGGCCTTTCGACATAGTTGCAATAGTGATGCCCCCTATTGATAAGAAGAACACTTGTCAAAGTATCTTCATAAACTGAAATAACCAATTAGGGATCCATCCCTTCATAGAGATGAAAGTATGTCTACCTCTGTGAATTCTCTTCGAGTATTTTGATCGTCTAATACAGATAAATAATATCATGAGGATCATAACAAGAGTAAATCCTCCAACAACTCCCCCGATGACGGCCCCCTTTTTACTTGAACCTACAAGACAAGACTAGATAACTCGTTTTCAAATAAGTCATAATTTTTGCATATTAAATGTTCCTCTAAAAAGTACAAAGAAATAACACATATCAATAACGTTTTATCGGTAAAAAAAGAACATATGTCAATATCAATATTGGCACTTATATCGTTTTCGATGAGAAACAGGTAGTTTAAAAGATAAATGTTCACAACTAGATATCTTCACGATGAGCACAATAGATAATAATTATAAAAATTATGAAAGATTGTACTAAATTTTTCCAATATTGGATAAATGAAAAAATTCAAATGGAACCTAATAAAATAGTGGGAAAAGATTGAAAGAATAAAAAAGTTGCATGAACCCTTAGAGAATTCTCAATGTTTGCAATTCTGTGTAAATTTATTTATAATAAAATCCCTTAATCGATGCTGGGGTTTTAGTACACAAGCAAATCAAATTGTCATGCTGCAATAATATTATTTATATATATATATTAAAATCTTTCAAAGAGCCATACCTTGTTTGCCCAAGGAAGTAATATCAATGGGCTGGTAATAATGTGGAAAGAAGGAAGAGGTGGAGTATCTCATGAAACATCCATCAGCATAAGCCCTACCATCCGAATTGGGAAGACAAGTGGCCATAATATTGTCATATCCAGTGTTCAAGCAATTGAAACAGCCGTTTGGAGTGACAGTTTCAATACATTGAGCAAAGCCATAAACAGTTGTACCATTATTATCAGGCAATTCTATCTTTGTGGCTGCAAAAAACCCTTGCTTTTGGGTGTTGTTGTTTGCAGATTCTTCAGCAGTTGTTGCACAAGTGAGGGTAAATAATGTAATGGATTCTCCTACAGTTTGATTTCCACATGATACGGCAGTGAAATCCTCCGTTGTCTTCCAAAAGAAGGCATTGGTCTCGTACCTCAATTAACAAAATGTATAACGTAACATATCAATTTTCCAGGATTAGTAAGGGTTTATCTTATTTACATGCCAAACTAATAGGATGATATTTTCTAAATGGATTGGGGGTGTGCTTGAATCAACTTTTGGAGAATAAGTCATAATTTTAACCAAAAGAAAAAACTTTAGAACAAGTTTTTAATATTCATTATGCCATGGCTATGTGTTTTATTTTTGAAATATTAACATTCAATTCAAAAACAGGACACATATTGTTATATATAATTAAAGACCTTGACATAAGAAATATGAGCAACTTAATATACATATTGTCTCTAACAAATGTTCCAGAAGAGACCTAAAATCACAAATCATATAAATTAAGTTTTTTTATATACCAGGTAGATCAGGCCTGGTTAAGAGACCTACGATTAGTTCTATGAATGAGCACCAAGGTCTAGATAGGTGGCCACAATGATTGAAGGCTGCATTATTTTTTCAGCTATTTATGTGGACTGTGGATTCAGAGAATGTAAGGAATTTTCTGTAACCTTCTAGTGGATCAGTTTAACTAATGTCCTTTCTCACGGGTATCAACCTTATGTAATGTAGATATTATGGGAGAATCTCACCCTGGTCATTTCTAAATGACTAGGATCAAAGGTAGGGGTAGATTTATTGCAATAAAGTTGTGAATTCTAATAAGATGGTTTGTAATTGGGGTTGATCAATTGACGAGTATATAAAAAAGTGTTTTTTATTTTGGGCTCAAAACAACTTTTAATTTTATTATTATTTTAATGCAATTAAAATTTTGCTAATTAAAACAATTTTAAATTTGGAAATTTCTTATCATCAACTACATTTATTTATCTTTGTATGCTGTCTGTGCTAACTTTAGTATCACACCTTCAACAAAAAATATATCTAAGTTATAATATACTAGTAAGATTTAGTTTCTAATTCAATTTGAACTACAAATTAAATCCTACACTAAAAACGGGGAGTAATAACTAAAATTTATTTTCTTTATTTTCTCTACTATTTAATTAGCATATATCAATGTAAACCACACAAACCACTCCCTCGGTTATCAAAATGAATAAATATCTTATCTATATGATATCCCCCCCCCCAGTAGTAAAAAAAAATCATCTCCACATAGGAAGGTCAAATGGAGCTTAATTTCTATTCAAAATTGGAAGGTCAAACTGGAGCTTCATTTGCGGACGACTTGTACCTGAGGAAGCAGCCATCGAAGACAACGCCGGCACCTTGTGCCGCCGGAGGACACTTACGGACTTGCCGGGCTGCGACGTCGAAGCAGGCGACACAGTCGGGAATGGAGATATAGTTTCTACACTGAAAAAGTGTGGAAACAGGGTTTTCTGCGTTGGCTTTCCTTGCCGTCGCCAAGTACTTGTTCTCAGAGACGATATTCTCTTTGATCTCTCGAAACGTTGCGTTTACGTTTTCATGGAAGATGGATAAGTTGGGCAAGACCACTTGGTTGGCAGATGGTGAGCAGCGGGTGTACATAAGATTGGCCTGTGGATCCGAAACGACGCCGTGAAGTGTCCAACGCGACCAGAATACGAAGGAGATTACAGAAAGGAAAATAGGTTGAAGAAGCATGTTTTATGTCTATATGCGTGTGTGTAGAGGTTGGCTGCAGGTGGACAGAATAATGAAGAGGAAGAAGGAAAGAGAGGTCAAGTTGGATCTGGCGATGTATGAACTATATGAGAGATTAGAGATTGGTGTTTGAAGAGGAGAATGATATCACAGAATTAATGAGGAAGAAGAAACTGATACATTTAAGGGAAATCGAAGATAGCCATGTGGCTTAAGATCAGAGGCATCTGATCAGCTGTTTCAACACATTTGGTCATCGTTTTCTTTCCCTCAGTTTCCTCCTATTTCGTAAAATCATCCGTAACGTGGGGTTATTGTACACAGTAAATTATACAGTTTCCCCCTCACTTTAATTTGATTTTGATGTCTGATCTTTTAACACCCACACACACATATAGTGATAAAGGATGGTGATTGATCAGTGGGCGTCGTCGCTGGTCCCAATGGGGCAAATGGTGACCATTCCAAAGGAAAGGACAAGGGAAGAAACCAAGTTTCACCGCCTCTCACAAAATGTGTTGACGGTGTGTTCCCATGGCTTGTGCAGTAATATACGAATTTTGGAGTCAATTGAAAAATGAAGTCATCACGTGATACTGGGGTCCGTCGTCATAATGTGGGCCGGGGTTGACGTCGGGCCCCTGGAAGGATACTGTATCCCTTTTTTTTTGGGCCAACGAGGATATTGGATTTTTTTTGTCAAAGCATAAATAATTCTCTTTGAAGCATTGTCAGGAATTAAATATAGGTATTTTTCTAGTGGGGATTTGAATATTAAAAATATTACTTCTTTTTTTATTAATGAAGAGTGAAATATTAATATATAACAAAAATATTTTACTTATCTATTTTATTAATTCAACTAAATAATTAGTTATCACTTTCTTAAAATGAGCTAATAAAAAGAATTTTCGGCACTCAACCTTTATATTCTCAGTTGATATTCTATGACATCTATCGGATTTCCATTTTCACTCTTAACGTGACCATCAAGACAAAAACAAGCATGTAAATTCACTAAAATGGTCATATCACGTAGAAAACTTGAAAAAAAAAACTCCAAAAAGTGATTGTTGAATTTTAAAATTTTAAATCAATATTAGTTATTACACTCGTAAAAAAAATAGCTACATTTGAAAAGCAAATGACAATACATTTTTGTAGTAATTCTTAATTTAAAATTTTAAAATTCAACAGTTGTTTTTTTTTGGGATTTTTCCAAACTTTAACTTCATTAATTAAAAATGAAATTAAATTGGAATTTTGGTATCACTTTTAAAATTTAAAGAACAATGAAAGATTAATATATGATTCGCTAAAAATTGTACATTGTAATTCACATATGTTAGAATAGGGAATGAAGGGCATTGATTTTCTATTTTCTCCTCCTTTCATGTTATTGCTTTTTCCACTTTTTGATTCAAAACTCGAAGTCACTCATAATTACACATCCCTGAAAAATCCTGTTACTATGCTGACGGTATAGAACTCAAGGCGTTGGACGTAGAGGAAGAGAAAGTGGTAGAGGTTTCTCCATGTGCTTTTAGTTAGTTTCAATCAAGATAGGCATAGTTGGTCTTATGTTCTCTAATAAGACATTGTTGGCCTTATTGTAGGAGACGCTAGAGTGCAGAGCAAACCAATTTCTATGATTTTCTTCACTTCTTCCACATCATACTCGTTAGGGTCTAAGGCACTATCCACCAACTCTAAGTGCATGCCTCTCTCATATAGTTTCCACGCCTAATAAGTGGGATTCAAATGAAATGCAAAGATATAGGGTTAGAAAAGGCAATGTGAAACTTATGTTACGTGTTGTAAGAAAAAGGTAATATAAAACTTAGGACGCTGAATGCATTATAAGTTAAAGTGCTGAATGTTATTGTAAAAAGATAAAATTAGGTGCTAGATGAAACTTAAAAAAATAACATCAAGGTGTTGAATTACTAAAAAAATAAAATCATCGGTAAAATTGCACCATTTAAAAGATCAAAGTGTTGGGTATACATAAGAAATGGTAAAATTGCACATTTACTCTTATTAAAATTGTGCTTTGTCTAAATTTGTGTGTAAAAATATAGTTTAAAGGACATTTTTGCCCTTAAATTAATATTCAAGGGCGTTGAATATTTTAACTTATCAAGAGCAATAATGTTTCCCTTCCATTAAAATTACAAATAGGTACTGCATGAAAAAAATTACTACCAATCAGGTCCCAAAAATTACAATAAATCGAAATTTTTTGGGACTCACTTGGTATTCATTTTTTGTAGGGTATGTATTTGTAATTTTACAAAAATTACAAACAATAATTTGGAAGTAAAAAATTAACTCTAAAAATAATTGCCCATGTAAATTGATATACAAATTTTGTTACCTTCTGAAGAGGAATTCGCCCTCTGCATCACCATCAACTCTTAATTCTTCACTTTTTCTACCACTTATAATTTCCAAAACTACAACACCATAGCTATATATATCAACTTTCTCTGATAATTGGCCATGTATTACATACTCAGGTGCTGTATAACCTCTGACAAATGCATAACATTTTTAAATTGATCAAAATAATGGCTCAAACACAAACATGTTAGCAATATCTGAAATATATATATATGCAACAGAAAGAATTGCAACACATTTTCATGCTATATACATGGAAGAAAAATAATCGATTAAACTATTTATAGGTGTTAGAGGAGTGTTCTATAGACTAATATATATATTGTTTCAATAATTCTTTCGGTGACCTCCAGCTCTGATTCCTGTATATATAATACAAGGTATAAAATGCAAGCATTACAACTTACAATCTGCAAAATTTGTGCCGAGATGAGATTTGCCCTCTGATAAAAACTTTGCCAATCCAAAATCGGCAATTCTAGGTTACATGTCACCATCTAGGAGGATGTTGTTAGTTTTTATGTCTCTATGTATGATACAAATATGAAATTCTTCATGTAGATAAGCTAATCCTCTTGCTGTTCCTAAAATTATATCATATCGTTGTTTCCAGCTGAGAGAACCTTTCTTTTTACCTGGTACAAGTTTAAATTAAAAATAATAATAAAACACAATTACAACTATTAATTAATAAATATTTAATCATTCAATCTGATTTATTATAACCATATTTATTGAATATAAATATATTTAAAAAGTTCACATATACTCACACATATATTTATTATAATAATATTTATTAAATATAAAAATATGATATATTTATTTCTGTTTTTCGGTTATAACTCAAAATTTTTTTCTACTACCAAACTGAATATCGAAATTGAATTGTTAAAAAAATAAAAATCAAATATATAACCAAAAACCGAAATAACTGAATCAAAAAATCAAAATTGAATTCAGTTCGGTTCAGTTTGGTTTCAGTTACAGTTTGATTTTACTTATCCCTAGGTAATAGAAAGGTTGAGCTCACCGAACCAGTCTTTGGACATCTATTCGTATGGCCACTATTACAGGGAATTGGCCATGGCAGTGTTGATGCATGCAGTGTGAAGATGAATTTTCCTCTTATTATATTTTTTTATACGGGTCCATATTTTGTATGATGATATTTAAAGCTTTAAATTTGATATTTTTAAATAATAAATTTATTTTTTTGAAAATGTGCTGACAATTGGAAAATAGTCTTTTTATTTTTAGATTGCACACTTCTTTTTGCCAACTGAATTGTACACTCATTAAAATAATAAAACAATAAAATCAAAATAATAAAATTAAATTAAATGTGAATCATACAAATTCAATGTGAGTGGTGGAGATTTCAGGATGAGCACTAGCCGTTCATGAGCACAGAATGCAAGTTTCTGTTTTGGGCTGTTCGGTGTTTTATGCTTGGACTGTGAAAGCGTTGTCGTTTTCAGGTCAAAGAAAAGAAAGCGGTCCAATTATCCAAGCATTTGCCGGGTCAGAGGGGAGACGCGTTCTTTTGTAGTTTCGTTATCGACGTGGCACATTATTGTCCTTCCGATCAATCTTGTGGTGCTCTTTTGTTACACTCACTTGAATACTATTTGGATATAACTGAGTCAATTGACTGGATCGGTTTCGATAAGGTGTGGTCCGTACATAGGAAAATATATACTTTTTTTGTGGAGAAAATTGCTAAAAAAAATATATTGAAATATTTATTACCTAACGGTATCTAAAATTTGTAACACTATTTTCTCTAAAATCCCCATTAAAATATTTATAGCTTAAAAGTATTTAAAATATTTATATATGCAGGCGTAACTCATTATGAAACATATTTTCAGTTATATATGTGCAAAGGTCTTTCATTCTGTCTATAAAATAGAATGTGTGTAACTTATCTCTAATGTGTGTAGCTTTTTTTAAATGTGTGCAACTTATCTTGTAAAAAATAATTATGCAAAAAAGGAATGATATTTGAAAAGACGAAGTCAACTTCCACTACCGCAAAATGTAATGATAGAGAATTGGATTTATTTTGAATTTTATGAAGTGTCGTGGTCAGTATTCACTAGGCAACAGAGATATTGAGAGTTAAAAAAGTTTTTTTTTCAAAAAAAAAAAGATGATGAAATTATCCCTTTTTCTTCCTTAAATTATATTCATAGATGCACTTTCTTTAACTTACATGATTAGAGAGTTTGACTCCTGGATGTCTTAACAAGTAGTATTTATTTGAATCATGGGTACTTCCTTCTTTTAATCTGTTAAACATATTTTATTGGACGCTAAATTTTCATTCATTTAATTAATCTTTTTCTTCACTTTTTAGTAAGGCTTAAACGTTAAATTAAAAGACGAGGGTGTGGGAGGAAGTTAGTTAGATCGACGTACAATTTTTCGGAAACTTTGAAGTTATTATTTATTTTGTGCATTGCATTTGCATCACGAGTAAAAGATACTTTGCCTGAGATGCATGTTGAAATGGTAACATTTAAACCCCCTCAATGCACCTAAAATAAAAGGCCGTAAATAAATTAAAATTAGTCATTATTAAAATAAAAGGAGAATTTCAATTATTAAGTCTTTTTTAAGGGACTTAGTTCAGTTGGATACTTGAATTAGGGAAATATCTTTTAAGTACTTACCAAGGAACTTTGATAATACAGCTCATGAACTCGTGCTAATGTAGGCTTACACATTTTGCACCCAGTAGTTGGATTGAAATCCCAGAAGCTTCCCATTACTCCATATTCAACAACTATACTCCACCAATGGTAATTAATTCTATGTCATCCATATCGTACTCCACATTCTTGAAAGGTAAAATTATCATGCTTATCATATTACATAATTCAAGGCACTACTAGTATTGGATTTAAAAAAATAGTATAGATAGAAATATACTTCTTCGATTCTAAATGTAAGTCAATTTTACCTAATTTATGCATACAAAAAGAAGCATTAAAATTGCCATAAATTAATATAATTTTCAATATTATTATTAACTACACTAAATTCCACTATATCATATTAATTTTTACCTTCTTTTACTATATCTACATCATGATCTCCATTACAAGGCATAAATGAAAAATATATAATGCTCCAACAATCTTATAAAGTGACTAATAAAAGGGAACAAAAAAAAAGGTTTAAAAAATGCCTCGTGCGTGTGTGTGTGTGTGTGTGTGTGTGTGTGTGTGTGTGATTAGAGGAAGTATTTCCATATACCTTTAATTAGTTTCAATCAAGATAGGCATAGTGGGCTTCCTATTCTCTAACAAATCCTTGTTTTGGAGCAAAACAACTACTTTAGACATCATTGGCCTTCCTTCTGTAGATGCTTGCGTGCAAACCAAACCAATCCCTATCATTTTCTTCACTTCGTCTTCATCATAGTCAAAAGGGCTTAAGGTTTTGTCCACCAACTCTAGGTGCATATCTCTCTCATATAATTTCCAAGCCTAACAATTGACAATTAAAGTTAAGTGACATAAGATGGGATATAACAGGCAGAGCAGAACAAAGGTTAATATTTTCTCAAATATTTATTTTTAATTCTCAAAGAAGGAACTAATAGCTTTAGCAGAAAGAGTTAAACTAAGTTTGTTAAAGAAGTCTTGAATCTAAATTTTCTATTAAAAAAATTTGCATTTTGGAAAATTTTTAGAATTTTTCTTACCTTTTGAAGAAGGAATTCACCCTCATAATCACCATTGATGGTTAATTCTTTACTTTGTTGACCACTAATGATTTCTAAGACTACAACACCATAACTATAGATATCAGCTTTTTCTGATAATTGGCCATGAATAAGATATTCAGGTGCTGTGTATCCTTGACAAATGCACAATATTAAATTACAACTATTAGAACAATTGTCTAAACCACAAACACGTAAATATTAAGAAAACATTTATATGAGCAATCGTTTTTCAAATATTAAGAAACCATGAGAGTATGAAATGTAGATATGCAACATAAAAGGAATGCAGCATGTACCACATCAATACAAAAGATTTTTTGAACCATTCATGTTATATGAAAAGGAAAAAAAAAATTAAAACTATTTAGAGGAGTGATAGGAGTGTTCCATTGACTTGTACATAGATTTTATCTTCAATAATTTATAAACAATAGTAGAGGTTTAGAAAATTAAACAAATTTTATGTCAACTTACAATGTTTCTGCAAATTTTGTGCTAAGATGAGATTTGTCCTCAGGCAAAAGTCTCGCCAATCCAAAATCAGTAATTTTAGGCTGTAGATTATCATCTAAAAGGATGTTGTTTGTCTTTATATCTCTATGTATCATACAAATATAAACTCCTCATGTAGATAAGCCAACCCTTTTGCTGTTCCTAAAATTATGTTACACCTTTGCTTCCAGTTGAGAGAACCCTTCTCTTTACCTATTTTCCAAATTTAGACAAATTAATTTGAAGGGAATGATTAAAGAGGAGGGGCTTACATAAAAGTCATCCTCTGTTTCAACTGCAGAAAGATCTAGAAGATTACCAAGTCCTTCAATAAGATTATGACGTGACTAATTTTTCTTAAGGGCGTCAATGATACGTGGTTAACTTAAAAAAAAAAAAAATCATATATCCACCTCAAAAAGTTATGAATAATTATAATAACTACTACTTGAAAACCAAGACATCATTATTGTGTGTTGATAGGAACTTACCAAACAGGTACCTGTCAAGACTATTATTTTTCATGTATTCATAAACAAGAATTCTGTTTTGTCCTTCACTGCAACATCATAGAAGTCGAACAAGATTTAGATGATGAGCATTACTTATCAACTTCACTTCACTCTCAAACTCTTCCTCCATCCTTGTGAATTGGCGAAAATTTAATTTCTTGATTGCAACTACCTTTCCCACTTTTCAGAGTACCCTAGTCAAGACAAAATGATGATATAAGAATTTTGATCATGAAAGTGTTTTTCTGAATACGTAAATATGCTGAAAATCAAAGTAAAGTTACCTTGTATACAACACCAAACCCTCCTTCTCCGAGTTTATTTTCTTCTCTAAATTCTTGGTTGCCAACTTCAAATCCTTGTAACTGTAAGTAACTAGGGCGGTTTAACTTGCTTGCTCCAGGTATCTCTCCTGTTCAGGAGAACATTGGTCAATATATTTTTCATTTGTTTTTTAAATAAAACTAGTTAGGAATTGGTCAATATCAATATATATTTGTTTTTAAAATAAAACTAGTTAGGAATGTTCTCATCAGAGAGATGGAAGTCTACATTCTTCATGGAAAAAGTGAAAGCCAATGTATCTCCTTATATTGGCAAATGTATATAATTGCTGGAGACTTTCCAAGTAATTTACCTGTACGAACTCTCTTGGAAATTTTGGTCGTTTGAACCA